AGACGCAATAACAGTAATTCATTTTCTTCCATCAAGCTGTGAAAATCGTTATTAAATCCTTTTTCCAAACCATCAATGATACTAAATCTTTCGGAAAGAAAAAGAAAGAGAGAGGGTAGGAGTAAAAAGTACTTTTTTTAATTAATGCAACAGCATAACCAAACGCGATTTAAAGAAAGCAGACAGACGAGAGGAGAATTAAATTTCCGCCATTTCTTATCAGCTGCGAGATAACGCTTGCCACGAGCCTCGTTTGAATTCTTAACAGCCACTTCGAGGCTCATAAACCTAAGTAGTTACATTCATTCCTTTAACTCAATCTTTTAGCAAAAAAATGCCCAAGTCGGTGACAATGAAACTGGGTTCAGAATATAAAATTAAACATTTCAGTATAAAACGTTTTCTATAGATCGTTAGCAATTTTACTGATCTTATTTTATTTTTTTAAATCATTTCACCCCCGAGCAAGGTGGTAATACAACTAAGATACCAGGGATTACTGAGAGTTAAAGAGAATGAGAAAACTTTAATGAGGAGGAAGTACTATAAAAAAGGGCAGGTTTCAGAAAGATGGCGATTAATGTAGCATTTAAATTTTTGAAGATCGTAGAGGACAGTGAAACAGGAAACCAGAAGAAAGAAAGAAACCACAGGCGAGGAGTGCGAGAAAAGAAACTATGAGAATAGAACCTACGGTTATATCTCACTATTTCAATAGTAAAGCAATGAGAACTAGTTTTAGTTGTACGCCTAACTTCATATGGTTGAGGTATCATGGAGGAGAGCTCATTAGATCAATTGCCATGAAAATATTTATAGAACAGGTAGAGGGAAGTCACGTGACGTCGCCGAGAAAGTGACTAAAGTCGAGATGCCAGGTCAGGACCGATAACATTACAGACCCTTCTTTGGATTTTGTCGAAAATTTCTAGATATATTCTGTTTTTTTTTTTTTGTTTTGTTTTTTACCGCCGAAATTTGATTGTTTGACATTCGTATTATAGTGTGGAAGGAAGTAGAAATCAAGGAGGTACATATTTATCTAACCCTTTATTTGGAGAAAAACTATTAAGAAATTTATCAAACATGCAGTTTCAATGTCCAAAGTGTCCCCTCTTGCGATCAATGCATGACTGCAGACGAACGATGGCACATAGTTTCGAAGAGTTCAATATCAGTTTCCTTAAATTCTACAGTGATCTGAGCTTTCAATTCCTGAATGGTACGAGGCATTTTCATAACAAACAGGGTCTTTCGTTATCCCCTAAAGAAAGAAATCGGGACAAGTGAGGCCTGGGGAGTAAGTCGGTTAATTAATCGATCCATTTAACGCCAAAAGTTTTCGCCAAGTCATGACGAAATCTGTCTATATTTCTGAGATATGGTATTGTAATAATTTACACTATCTACATTGTTCGGCTTTCTTCAGGTGATTGGAATTTCGAACTGGAACCTTTATTTCGTTCACTGGAGTGGATTATTCTAGTTCCACTTGCCATGCCTCTTCCTGATGTCTCAGTATTAGTCATCTCCCTTTAAATTAACTTTCCAAGTTTTGTCTTTTTTTTTTTTTTCGCCTTTGTTGTAATGAGGTATTGAATTCATAACTCTTTAGGTCAAGTGACTGGATTCAAAAACGCTTTTATCCACTGGGCCATTACAACCTGCACGATGAATTTTAACAACATGACTTCCCAGTATTTAGCCGCCACATTTGACTCACCCTGTAAATACAAATTTTATGAAATTTAAATTTCACTCTATAAATCTGTAAATCAGATACAGGAACAATGCTAATGTTATTAGTTACGAGCAGGCATCTTAGCTGCAGTCACTTTCCCGCTGCTGTAACATAAAACCCCTGTGCCTATTCTATAAATATTTTCATGGTAATTATTCTGGTGAAATATTCCTCTTTTGTAGATATTCATTGGGGTTTCATTTTTAAATGTTGTTATTTTCATTCCCGGTCACATTCCCGCAAACAAATTGTACAAATGGAAACAAGTTAGGACCACATACAGACGTTGAGATATTATAGCGGCTGTAGTAAGAATGGTAAGTAAGAATGCGTTCACTATTTGCATTATTTGGACTATTCTCCTCATCTTTGTCGCCATATTTATTACAACGTTTCGGCTGTTGTACGCTCCGGCCTTCTTCAGGTGGTTGGAATGTCGAACTGAACCCTTTATTTCGCTCACTGGGGTAGACTGTTCTAGTTCCACGTGCCATGTTTAATGGATGTCAGTTATCAGTTATCTTCTGTTAAGTCCCTTCTCCAAGTTCTCCACTGCGTCGTTTTAGTGTAAGGAATACTGTGGTATGTTTGGGTCAGTCATCGTGGCTAGCTAAGTTTAAGATTGAAGACCAATCTTACTTTATCCCCCCTTATGGCCTTGTGCCACATTTTTGTATTATTAAAAATAAATATTACTTTCCTCTATGGTATTATGGTGGCTGTAGTAAGAATGGTAAGTAAGAATGTGTTGCTTGGGTGTAAGGAATACTGTGGTCTGTTTGGGTCAGTCATCGTGGCTAGCTTTCCTCTAACCCCACTTTTGGCCTTATGCCATATTTTTGTATTAAAGCAAAAGAAATATCACTTTCCTCTTTGGCACCTAGACTTTATGAATTTAAGTGCAGTACTAGATTGGCGCCAAGGTCCCATCATTTTACAGATGAAATGGCTAGATGTAACCGTAAGTTCTATGCTAATAGTTTCTTCTCTTGCATTTTTCATTTATGTAGCTCTCTTCCGGCTACTTGCTTCCCGGTCAACTTTGACATTCAGAAATGTAAATGCAATATCAATCGTTATCTTCCGTTTTCTTAATTCCTGTTCTTTTATTATCCTCTCTTCTTAATAATGTCTCACACTTAATAACTCTTTGCATCCTAGTGGCTTTATTGTTTTGCTTAGGGTAAAAAGATTAAAAATGTCATTCTAATCATTTCAGCTCTATGCTAATCTCTAAAAATTTAAAATATGAATTGTCAATCAATCATTTTCTTCTGTCTTAATTCTTGTTCTTTTATTGTTTTCTCTCCTTAATGTTATTTTTTACTCATATTCTATCACACTAATTGACCCCTTTGATTCTTAGTGGCTGTATTTCCTTACTAAGGGTGAAATTTTAAAACAATTTTTTTTAATAATCCTAACAATTACATTTTGATTGAACAAATTGTTCAGAATTAATAACAAAATGAAATTTGCTTAAATTTACATGCCACAAGCTGCTACAATGATTGACAAAATTTGGCACCTCATAAACATTGTTATTTAAGAAGTTGAAATTTTATATCCATGTAGTGTAGTTTCCCCACACAAATCAGTTCTTGTTTTATCATCAGCAAACTCTTTGAGGCCATAATCAATAAGGTTATTGAGCACCTAGACAAGAACTCTTCAATGATGAGCAGTATGTGCTTCAGTCAACCCAATCTACTGTCGGCATTCTAAATACCATCACTCACGGAATCAGTGAGGCTCTTGATGGCAAACACACCACCAGGAACATAGCACTAGATATATCAGAGACCTTTGACAAGGTGTGGCACAAAGGATTATTATGCAAACTCTCCGGTTATGGTGTCAGTGGAAGGGTTTTCTCAATCAACAAATTCTTCCTAACAGGTAGGTTCCTGAAGGTAGTTATCAATGGCCAGTTCTCCATAGCAAGTACAGAAATTTTGAATATCTGCGAAGTGTTTTAACAGGGGATGGAATATGGGACGCCAAAATCCGAACATAAAAAACTGGCTGGTTACATTCAATGCCTCGAAAACCAGGCTAGCTATATTCCACCATCGCCGATCGGACCCTGAACTAGCGCCGATTTGGATGAATGGATATCCCCACGGGAAAGCCTCGTGCCTTGAACTACTGCTGGGCCTTAAACTCCGGATCGCAAGTGAAACATGTACATACGATACATCGCTGAAAATGCAGGAAAAATGATCGGTTACCTATCCCGTTCTAGTATGTCCCTGACCCCCTCGTGCTATCACCTGCCTTTACAAGATCAGGCCTAAAATGGAATACGGCTGTCATATTTGGACAGGAGCTTCCCAGTCCTCGCTTTTCTGTTTCGATAGCGCCCAAAAGCGCCTCTGCAAAGTCAATGTCTACTGTCTATATTTTTGAGATGTCTAGAGGTTCATCTTTATTAAGTAATTTCATCTCTAGGCCGATAGACATTAATTTTACTCTTTAAAAACAGATATGTCTACACAAAGAAGCGTCCATGCTAGATAATATGTTTATAGAAATAAGGAATAATATCAGATTAAAAACATGTATTAATTATATATATATATATATATATATATATATATATATATATATATATATATATATACTACAGTTCAAAAGTTTGAAACAACCCCCAGAATTAGCAGGCGATGAAATTTACAGAAGAGCGAAAAAAAAAAAAAATCAGTTCTTAGAGTCATTGGAAAAAGAATGGAACTAATTTTGAAACTTATCCTTTGAGAAACTTTAGCAAAAAAATGCCAAAAGTTTGTGCTGCAGTAATCAAGGTTAAAGGAGGATATTTTGACGAGAGCAAAATTTAATGATAAAATGCTTTTATCCTTTTTGAATAATAAAATTTCTAATAAAAAAAAATCATGCCTCACTTTTTTTAACTATGTATAATTATTTTCTCCTATTTAAAGTACAAAACAACTACTTTGGGGATCAATTTAAAAATTACACGTGTTGGCCTCTTTGAACTGTTGTGTATGTACATACAAATGCAATACTCTTCAAACAGAATCGAGCTTCCCTAGCCACTGACGTCTTTCATATAGAAAAACGTTAAAATTTCCTTTTCTCTCTGCAGTGCGAGGATTTCTTGGGTGTAGAATCCTCGATTGATACGAAATCGGTCGGGTTTCGATTCCAACTTGATGCAATTGGATGTCTTGGCACAAATCTGTGATATAGTGTGGGTGACTATATATATATATATATATATATATACATATATAAACGTGAGTGTTTGCTGGGACTCGCTGTCATCTGACTCTAGTTCCTTCTTGCATATATATATATTTTTTTTTTTTTCACCTATTCTTATTGTACATTTTTCTGTTTTAATTTTGAATCTCCCGTGGAAGCCTGAAGAGCGGGAGCGAAACCGTTGCTTTCCTTGTTGTTGTGGGGTTTTTGATGATTTAATATTGTTTTAATATGTCTTGTAATATTAAATTTTATACTTTTATTTCGATCATTAAATTTTGTACCTACAAAAACATCTATATATATATATATATA